AACCATATTCTCAGAAATGACAGAATCATTTTTGCTGAAGCTTTCCAGAAAAATGTAGCCTGAGGCAGACACCAGCATGGAAAATGTCAGCCCAAACAGTTAAAATTTGGCAAAATACAAGGAAATTAAAACAGTGTCTTTCTTACTGCAGAAAGTGTTAGGCAACCTTAATTATAGGTGTTGCTGCCTGCTTCTCGTGTAATACTAATAATTTTCGGATTAGATCCTAAAAGGCACTAACACAAATACAATACTGGAATTATAAGAATTCACAATTTCAATATCAAACACATTTGAAAGTATATTTTAATGACAACCTAAAAATATAAAGAACATATGCATATTACTGGTTTTACACTTGAGGGTTGAAGAGTCTCTTATTTAAGAAGCTCTGTCATCTAAAAATACCCCTGCAGCTACATCTTACTAATATAATTTCAAAAATGGTAAAGAATAATTCTGAGTAAGATATATTTTTTGTACTTCACATTTTTAGTTAATTTTAGTGCTGGTGAAAAATGCTAACAGCCATGAGGACTGAAGGCCTCAATTTCTCCACAGAACAGGTTCTAGGTGCCAATGAAACCATTCAGGTAAAGTTCTGATTAAAAGCAACACAAAAGTTGGCATGACAGACAAGTGTAACCTGGAACAGCATGTGCATTCACTGACAGAGCTCTGAGCGTAAACTTGTCAGTGTTGTTCTGCTTCTAGGCAAAACTATAGGCTTCCAACTTGTCTGGGTATCAAATTCAGCCCAAATACTTTGTACAGAGTAGTCAACATAAGATATGGCACGAATGGCATTAGAACACTTTTTATTTTGGAAGGCTGACCCTAAAATAGGCTATTTAAGGGTGAAAAGAGAATAGTGACAGGGGTGACAGGTTTGTATAATTTTTGGTGGTGCCCAGAACGGGTCCAAGTCCTACCCCGCCCCCACACACACACACCTGCCTAAGACTCTGGGAGGGAGTTTGGTGCGGGAGGGGTGTGGGCTCTGGGAGGGAATTGGGGTGCAGGAGGGGGTTTGGTCTCTGGGACGGAGTTGGGTGCGGGTTGCGGGCTCTGGGCTGGGGCAGGGGGTAAGACAGGAGGTAATTGTCCTGATCTGTTCAGCACTGGAGAGGCCTCAGCTGGAGTACTGTGTCCAGTTCTGGGTGCCAAACATTGGGAGTGATGTAGACAAATTGGAATGTTCAGAGGAGAGCAACAAAAATGATAAAAAGTTCAGAAACCCTGACCTACAAGGAAAGGGTTAAAAAAATGGGTATGCTTAGTCTTGGAAAAAGGAGTCTGAGACATGCCCTTATAACAGTCTTCAAATATGATAAGGACTTTTATAAGGAGAATGGTGATCAATTATTCTCCCATCCACTGAAGGTAGGACAAGAAGTAATGAGGTTAATCTGCAGGAAGGGAGATTTAGGTTAGATATTAGCGAAAACTTTCTAACTCTAAGGATAGTTAAGCTCTGGAACAGGCTTCCAACGGAGGTTGTGGAATCCCCAATGCTGGAGGATTTTAAGAACAGGTTAGACAATATATGTAGACCATCCCTACAAGGGATGGTCTACATATATTTGTCCTGCCTCAGCGCAGGGGGCTGGACTAGATGACCTCTTGAGGTCCCTTCCACCCCTACATTTCTAGGATTCTATATCAACAAAATAATTCTAAGACAAATAGTGCATAAATAACACTTATTTTCTTCCTTACTAGTATTGGTAATAACAAGAGATAGATGTTTCCTACTATGCGGAAACTTTTCTCACTAAAGACACTCACCTTGTAGTTATTTTCCTACTTTGTTTTGCCAAATTTGGTGTTGTACATGACTGAAGAGTTGCACGGGTACTTAAGTGATGAGATCCAGATAACGGGTCTCTGAGTGTTTGAGCGATGTGTTATTGATACCTTGTTGTGAATGGTGCAAAGCAAGGATACAACATCCTGCAAAGGTCATGGAGAATCTTGTCTGTCCCACATGTAACCATGTTTGTGGTTCTTGAAATGGTCTGACCTAGCAGGTTCACTTACAGTGTTTGCTGAATCCTTGTATATGGACATCAATGTGAGACTCCATCATTTCTATTTTGTATTTTGTTTAATTGGTTGAGTGTGCTTTCATCTGATAATCTGCTACTGGAGTTCTAGAATAAGACTGTATGTTCCAGTTCTCTCAGCCTACTCATGCAGTTGAATTAAGTTTCTTTCTGAAGAAGCTGTGACTCTGACCAGGGGTGCTGGAGAGCCATTGAACCAAACTGTAAACCCTGCATACAATGGAAACCTCGTCAAGCCAAGGGGGTGTGGCAGCACCCACAGCACCCCTAGTTCCAGCACCTATGACTCTGACATCTTAAATAAGGGTTAATACAAATACAATAATTTATAATTTACTAATTTAAATCCCTGGCTCAATCAATTTCAGTTTGCTCATTTTAAAAGTTATTTAAATTAAATTCTGCTTAAAACATACACCCATGCAACCTCACTGATTTAAATAGGGTTGCCTGGAAAGTGATGGCAGGATTTGACTCATTTATATTTAAATGAGTATTTGCTTCTTCCCAACCTTCCTCTAATTTGATCCTGCAGTGAAGTCAGAATCTGAATTAGGACATGACATTCATTTCCAGGATGTGAGATTGTGGAGTTGCAAAACAGAATTATGACAGACTTTTCTGCAGAATCAAGATGGAAAAAGCTTTTATTCAACCCTTAAAGGCTGAAATAATAGCAATTGGAATACAAAAAATGACTGGCCAAATACACTGTTTTTGAATGAGTTCTTTTTTCCCCTAATTTAACTATTATTAGGAAAAAACATGGTAAAATATCCCCCACCCCCATCCCCTTTCATTTAAACTAGTCCTAAATCAGAACTTTCTCTTAGCAGCAAAACTGATCTTACCTGCCGTCTTTCATTTCCTTTTGGAAACTTTAAATGTTGATTCTTCCCTGTACAAAGGAAAAATTGGTTAAAACTGCACCGTGCCCTTTTAGAAAATTACACAGACACTGCCCTGTGGAGCTTTATAATCCCTCCATGGAAATGAAGAGATTAGCATCTGAATGCAATGCAAAATGAATCCAGAATACAAAACGATTTGCAGGCTTCTTTAAACGTTTGCATTATTTATTTATGTCTTTGAATTACTGTTCAGTGGGGTTGGTGGCATTTTCCTTGTGCTTCAGCTCCCCTCCTTCGTTAGAAAAAATAAAATAACGAGAGAATTTGCAGTTTGCAAAGGGGGTCGGGGAGGAAACAGAGTCGATGCAGAGGGAAATCAAAGGAAAAGCACGAATCGGATGGCTCCAGAAATGGAATCTGCTTGGCTGCCCCGAAGCCTGCCTGTTCGCAGCGAGTGTGGAAAGTGCTGTTTGCAGAAAGCAGAGTGAAGGAGACAGGCAGACAGAGACCATAGTGCTGACGTTGGAGGCCCAACCCTTGTGAGGTTGCAGAGGGTAAATGGTACGGCGCTGGCTGGCGATGGAGAGGGGGGGGGGCGGGGACAGGGCCCTGGAAGCTTCCTGATTGCTGGAGAGACGCTGCCAGTCTGCTCGGCTCCCCCAGTCAAGCCGAGCGCTAGTGGAAGAGCCACACTTCTCGTCTGCCCCAGCCGGAGTGTGAGCCGTGTGTGCCCGGCGAGCAGCCCCACGCCCGGACGGTGCAGCGCGCAGCAGCCAGCCAGCCAGCGAGCCCCAGCCCCTTTCAATGGAGGAGCAGCCCGGCCCGCCCCAGCCGCACAGCCAGCCCCACCACCACCACCCGCCGCAGCACCACCACCACCATTACTACTACTACAACCACAACCACCACCACCACCTCCAGCAGAGCCCCTACCTGCCGCATGCGGCCGAGCCCGGCCCCAAGGCCGCGCCGAAGCCGCCGCTGAAACATGAGCACAAGCACGCGGGCCCGCCGCCCCAGGACACGCCGAGGAAGAAAACAGGTGCGGGAGGCCGGGGCCCGGGGCGGGGAGAGGCCCGGGAGGCCGGGGCGCTGGGGGTCGGGAGCGGGGGCAGGGGTCGGGCGGGATCCGGCTGGGGCTGGGCTGGGACGCGGGGCGGGGCGGGGGTCCCGGGCGGGCTCGGCGGGGGGCAGTGACGGGGGAGGATGGGAGCGGCCCCTGCCGTGTCGTGTCACCGCCTCCCCCGGGAGCGGCCGGGCCGGCGTGACCTTCCCGGCTGCGGGGCGGCCCGGCTCCCCCTGGCCCGGCGCCGGGTCCTCGGGCGGGGGCTCGGCCGCGGCCCCCTCCCCCGGCCCGGCTGGAACATTCTCCGCGGCTCTCGGGCCGCTTCCTGTCCGCCATGTTGGGAGCCGGGCCCGGCGCGGGGAGCCGCCGGCCGG